GGGGGGGGTAGGTAGCGGAGCGGGAAGGGACATGCTCCAATTTTCAATGAGGCAAAAGCGAATTATCAAGTCAAGTGGAACGTGTAAGGGTGACATAACCCTCTCTCTGCCTCTCTCCCGGCAGCCCCGCAATCCGAAAGGGTTATACCTCCGGATAAACGCATTGCAATAAAATGCCTGAGTTATGCCTGTGTTGATGACAGGCGATACAGCACCGGGTGTTCGAACTGTCGCAGCAGCGCCATTGTGGCCAACCCTTTCTCCCTAGCCCTCACCCCTTTCAGTCGCCGCCAGCCCGGCCCAGATTGCGCAATTTCGCAATCGCGCTGCGAAATAGTTGATACTAGACCAGGTGAGAAAGTTGCGCCCGAGAAGACGGCAGCCGTAAAAAAACTGGATGATATCGAATTACCTTCCCTGCAACGCGATGTTTATGGGAAAACATTCGATAGCTCACTCCTTCTCATCAACAGCACCGGGCCAGATGCTCGAGACGGTTGGACGCGCGGCTCGGCCCAGCGCGACCATCATCATCGGTACACAAGCGCGTCACAATGGCAGCCTGTCCGTCGGGCCGGTAAGCGTTTTCAAATGGGAGACGCAAGAGGAGCAGTACCAGCATCCCTTGCATCACTCACACTTACCATTAATTTCAATGAGAGGCCCGCGACACGCCCGCATACGGACCAAAAGCAGTTCAACCCGGCGGCGGCTCAATTAACTCGACACCACACAGCGGCGGCCGGCAGCAGAACCCTTTCATTATTCACGCGACAAACTCTGCTGCGCCCAAAATCCTAAAAATGTCGCGCGAACGTTGGCCCCGCCGCGCTCGTGCCGTGTTGCGCGGCCTAATGAGGATTAACGACGGACGCCTGAAAGAGGCGCTGACGAGCCAGCCATAGGCGATGTCCAATTAATCGTCACCCGGTCGTAACTCCCAATCAAAGCTAAAAGTGCTGCCGTCGCGGCCAGCTGCTGCTCACGTGCCTGCTCGCCGCCTTCTATTAACGTAAGAAGTTGAAACTGAGCGTGTGTGCGCGCCTTTCCAATCCAATCGCCATAAAACACGATCGGCGCACAGCGACATTAAAAAAAAAAGGCGCGTACTTTTGTCCACGCCGAACTGGCTGTCACGCGGAGATGCAGTCTGGAACAGGTTATGTGAGGACTGCAAACGGCTCCGCCAATATTGTATTGGACTGAACTTTCAGAACCACAGAAAATACAGAACTTATGGGTACTACAAGATGGCCGCATTTAGAAAACCGTTCGAACTAAAGTGTACTCAAGCCTACAAAATTTTAATCCCGCCACACAAACATTGATCGTGTTGATTAGACGATCTGGTCATGTTCATGGTGATGTGTTTCGATGAGATTAATGTTTCACTAATGATAATTTGTTCACAATTTTTCATGAAACGTTCCTGTGGATTCACAAAGTAAATTTTGTTTCGCTTACGACTCATTTTTGGTTGTGCCAACAAATTGCTTTTTCGGGAGCGCTGTGCCACATTTAAGGTTCGAGCGAATGCGTGCAGCCCGCAGCACAATGCACGGGCCAAAAATGATTTCGCGTGTTGTGTCTAGCCTTAATGGCCCCCGAATAGGCAACCCGTCCGCAAGTCAGCATGCGAGCTAGTAGACGCCACGCATTTGCTCCGACGGGGCACAGGAAGCAAAGGAAAGGGTTGGAGAGAGAGGAGAGAACTCCTGATGAGCGTCACTAAAACGTAAGCCGGGTCTCTCTGGCTGAAGTAAAAGCGAAGTTAGCGGGAGCGCAGGCGAAGCTGTCGCTGCTGGCGGGGTTTCCATTCAATGTCAACGAGACATCACGCGGACATTTGAAAACCGTGAAAATTTTTGAGTTGGGTGCTACGTTTAGGAAGCGGTTCACTTATTTAAAAATTCCCTTCTCTCAGAATGAACCTTTGGATCATTTCCATTCTGTATCACTACGAGCTGACCTATTCGAGAGGGACGCCGTATTATGCGCCGCCGACGAAAAAAGTGATTTACTGAACCTTCGCTGGCATTTATTCGTAAAAACAACGCTGACATATTGTCAGCTTCAGTGACGACGGCTCAAAAATATTGTACGACTCGCGCAGATATTTAACTGTATCTTCAAAATCAAATCATCTGAATAATCAAGCCGTCACGCGCAGAGGCGACGAATATCGCCTAAATATCCGTTAACCTAGAACGTGCTTAGACTGTTGGCGGCCACATCTTCCTCTCATTACGGCGTGGCGCGCCTCGCCGCCGCCGCCGCCGCCCCGCCCCGATGCCCTGGGGCCATCGCCGTCCAGCACAGTAGCAGGTATCAGGATTACTGCGCGGCCCGGCACAGCCCGGCACAGCAGCCCGCCCGGCACAACACGCTATAATCACGAGATTAGCGTTCATCTGCCGTGGCGCGCCGCCAGCGACAGAGCCGCGGCGCAGCGGGGCGGGGAGAGACTGTCGAATGACAAAAACTTACTTTCTCGCTCACTAAATATCGACGGCTGTCTGTGGCACTCCGCACCGCAGGCCCGGCGGGCCTCGTCCTGCCCCGAGGGAGGGACAGGGGTTGGAACTGCCGCTGCCCGCCATACGTAAATTTTGGCACGTACCGTAATATCTGTCGCGTTTGATGTACGCGTCAGCTACCCAGCGCGACAACTGCAGCCAGACACTCCAGACCCCTTTGTTCTTGGCGTGTTTGTGTTGACAATCGGTGACAAGAAATATGCCGACGCGGACTCTCTCCTTCGAGGGGTGAGGATGCCCGGGGACGAGTGGCGGTTGGAAGGGGTGTGTCTGCGCGCGGACCACCGCGAGAGGCGGGGCTGGCCGGCAGCGCCAAAGATGACTAATGCGGCAAAAAAGTCAGAAAACCTCTGGTATAACGGCGGAAATCAGGAATTTGGGAAAGGGGTGTGGCTCTGGGACGCGTAACTGAGTGTCACATCAGTGATTGGTTTTCCGCTTCGCTGCACTGTTGAAAGTTGTCACCTGATAACAGACTACGTGAAGACCATCGAAACTCGTAGTAACTGGCCTATGTTGGCCTAAACAGAAACTACTTGGTTACAAAGTGTATTGTACCTGTACAAGAGAAGTGGAAATGTTTTTCGCAACGTTTTACTCTAAAAATAAAACACAAGCAAGACAAAAAAAATGACTGCTTTCGATCAGAAACTTCCCATAAAGATATTTGTCAATGTTGTTTAGTAACATGTATGTTAAAAAAATGTTGTTAATCTACAACAAATCTTTTAACAGTGTGGGTGTCACAAGTTTTTCCTCAAATTCAGTATAATTTTGCTCATTACATCAAAGATAAAGAAGCAGCTTTGGTATTTAATTATGGGCTAGGCACCACCAAAACGGCCTTATCTCCAATCTGTTTTGAAAAATAAGGCAAATCAGTATACGGAGAATTTGGTAAAGCGTAAAGTTGAAAAGTTGTGGCTCTCGAAAGCTCGTCAGCTTTCTAAAACTATAGATACTCGCCTACGCTCTCTTGTGCAAATAACATCTTCTATTCCCCCGTGAAGTCGTCACTTCAGGACGACGCTGCCAAGCCAAGATGATCTGCGAGGAGGCGTGGTTCCTCAGGGAAGAACCAACAAACAACAGGGAATTGGGAGATCGTGCAGGCCACAGCGCCGGCTCTCCGCCTACCGCAGGTAATGGCTTGTTATTGAAGTTTAAATCTGGAAATTACAACAACTTGCCTGGTCGGCAGTGATTTATCCCGGGCTGCTCCGCGCCCCGACGCTCACCTCTGACCTCTATTCATGACGGCCAAGGGGCGCACCGTGCACACCGTTGACTCACTTCACACTCAACGCGTGAGAAAGGCATCTCACCCAAAGAGTACAAATTTTCGAGGAAATTAATTCAAGCTAGTCAAATTTAAGATCATATTTCCTAAACAGCTCATAATGTGTTTGAAATCGATTACGAACTCACAGCGGGGGCCCACGCGAAACGTCGTGAAAGGAGTGGCTCACACTCCAAGAGATTGGTCTGGCAATGCCGAAAGATGAACTCATCATCGGTAGGTTCAAACCCTGACTCGAGTAACATCACAAGTTGCTAACTTTCGACGGCTTGTTACGACGAAATTAAAATGATTTATTTCGTCTTGAGTCATCCGGCGTGTCAGATTCAGGAATCAAAACGTCTTCCTCCCATTTCCCACACAGGCTTAGCACCCAAAAATAAGGGACGAGAAAAGGGGCGTTTGGGCGTTTTGCAGGAAAAAGTTGAGTTTAAGAGTGGAAAAATAAAACAAAAGGATGAGCTCACAATAAAGCCAAAAAGAGCACAGAGCAGCGGCCGACGATACACACATCTCACACGGTCTTTTCAATTACCGAGGCACGAAAACGCGACCGTTACCCCCTGGGGAGGCCACAGGCCCCCGTATCGCGATGGCCCGCCCACACAATAACGCATTGTTATTTGGCCGATATCAGCTGAGCAGAGCAGGGGTCGTGACACGAAGAACGCTTGCGAAAAATATGTTCGAGCATTAGAGCGCGGTCTGGTCCATTTTTAACAAATTTTGACGCATTGGGTATGCACTGTGTCTTTAGGCTGCTCTTTTTTACTTTCTCGATCGTAAAGGAGCTGCCGTTCCATCCATGTGGAAGGTGGCACAGCCACCGCCTGTTTATTTCACTTGCATAATTAATTTCGTTTTAACACCGTGTTAAGAGTAAAACAATAAATTTGGACACGGGCGGCGGTAGCAGTTTTTGGCGCGAGCCGCGTCGCACTCCACTGTATATTACCATAACAAAACGTAGGGAC